AACAAAATGGCTAAATATACCTATTAATGCATTAGTTGTTATAAGGGTACTTTAGTTAACTTTGAAATTTCTTAACTTATGCAGTTATTAGATGTTCTTGGCTAACTTTGAAGCTTCTTGGTCATTAAAGTTATTATCCTTTGATCTATCTTGTGGTTTAATTTGAAGTTTCTTGACCTTTGTGACCACCAGGAGTTTTGGGTTAGCTTTGTAGATTCTCGACTATTATGGTTATTAAACATTTTTTTGGATAACTTTAAAGTTTATTGACTTTTATAATGAGTAGGGAGGGTATCTTGTAGTTTATTGACCTATGTGACTACTAGCGTTTCTTGGCTAACTTTGAATATTTTAATCTTTGTGAATACTGGGATTTCTAAGAATGAAATGCAAGAAAATATATGCATTTTTCATTGAAATGTCATAAAACAATAACTTATTATTTTACATTAACAAGAATAACACCCACACTTTTCATTTAGCTTGTAATTTGCTTCTTACATCAGAATTATATAATGAGTTACACACAATATTTCGACTGTTTCAAAACACTGGTACAAGTAGGTCTAATATTCCGGATGGCTGACTTCTGGTTTTACAGCTTTGCCAGATTTCATCGTTTAATACTTTAACATTAAATTTTTTTATTGTTTACTAAGTGGCATTTGACTGTCGACTGCCATCATGGTCCACCTCAGCTGACAAAATATGGCGTTGCACGAAAAGCCTCCTGGGCAGTGATTTGTGGTAGACAGAAGTTACGTCTGAAACGATATTTTCACACACCTCTGACTTGAAATCCTAAATGAATTAATTAAAAGGAATGTGAAAAAAAATCCCCTGCAATTTTGCTCCTTAAATTCACCAGTTTTCGGAGTTTTACGTACTAACAGTAAAGATATAGTAGTAGTTTATTATCGAGTTAAACTATTATCTCATCATTACAAGCACAGTATTATTTAATTTCTGCGCAGTTGTAATTTTTAACATTCTCGGACAATGCTGTTGCGTTGCGGCTGTTAACGTTTAGCTCTCTCTAAATATACATGTTATGTTGTAAACTCTTCGTTAACTGACATCAAATTAGAATGATGCATCTTGAAGGAAATGTGATTTATTAGTCGTAATTGTTTTCTTCCTCACTAGATGTCAGGGTATACTATCGTTACGATTATGACCATTTCGAGTTTTGTTTGTTTGTTTTTGGAATTTCGTGCAAAGCTATACGAGGACTATCTGCGCTAGCCGTCCCTAATTTAGCAGTGGAAAACTATAGGAAAGACATTTAGTCATTACCGCCCACCGCCAACTCTTGGGCTACTCTTTGACACATTGTAACGCCCCCACGGCTGAAAGGGCGAGCATGTCTGGTGTGACGGGGATTCGAAAAATATAGGTTAAAAGCAATGTGAGAAATTACAATATGCAACTAATTTATAAATTTTCTTATAACTTGTTTAAATTTTTTATATTTGTTTCTTATTAATCTTGTTTGTTTGTTTTTGGAATTTCGTCGCAAAGCTACACGAGGGCTATCTGCGCTAGCCGTCCCTAATTTAGCAGTGTAAGACTAGAGGGAAGGCAGCTAGTCATCAC